AACCGATTCTAAGATGCATTTTTTCCTATACCTTAGTATCTCTTAAATCGGAATGCAGCTTTGATAGTGTCTTACAGTCACCACTGGCTGGCTGGCCCCTGTGACAAAAATGTCTTTGTCATAACCAATTTATCCCGCTCCTTTTTCCTTCTATGTTTTTGTGCAAAAATCTGTCAAGTCTTTCAGAAGAATCCTTTCAACAAGAGCATAATAAAAATTCTAAGTGGTAAGACACTGTGTCATTTGACTGCCAGTGGGTTTTTTTCTGTAGTGATTATATATAAAGTAATTGTGCAGCTCATCTGGCTTTTGAGATTTGATGAAATATAGAATATGTGGCCAGAAATTCTCTTCTTATTTTAGAAGCTCTGGCAAACTCCAAGGGACAGCCCTAAGAGAAAAGGTACACTGTGCTCTATGGTTGGTAGAGTTCAATGCCAGGATCAAACTGGAGAAGAAACCCTAACCCACCTTTCAGAAGGGACGACAGATTAGAGCCACCCAAGGACTTTCTGAAGATCTTATATACATAGAGAGCATGTTAAGTGCACCTGGGGCCTCCTTACAGAAAAGGGAGCCCCAAAACACAAGCTACACACTTGTCTCTATGATAGCTACATGTATACTCAGTTTTGGGTATTTAAATACCTACCACAGTTTCTGGAAGGAACGATGCCTCTGTTTAAAATAAAAGAAGTGTTACAGGACAAAACAGTCTTCCTTCTTGGTTCATACAACACACCTAAGTAGGAGGCACATGCATGTGAACACATCCAGCCAGTGAGTGGGTCCTTTAGGACACGCCCTTCCTCAGGTGACCACAGCTGAGTTGGCCACTCCTACCTTTTCCCACGGGGCCATTGTGGGTGTCCCGCTCTTGTGCACAGTTTGAGCCTGGTGAGGGGGTGTCAGGGTTCTCCGGCTGTGATCGGAGAGGCTGAGAGGCCACTGGAGAGGTGGGGTCTGAAGACTCTGGCTGCCAGGAGGGGCTGTCTGCAGTTGACTTCAACCGTTCTCTTGAACCCTCTTTCTTTGGCTTGATGAGTTTGACTAAGGCTTTGGCTCCAATCCAGTGATTCTTCCTAGTTAGAAGAAGAGTTTTAGAAAGACACACTCAACCTCCTACACCCTCCAGCAGGTCACCGGTTCCCTAGCATGGGCTGGGATTTCCAGGAAGGTCGGCCATTAACTTGAGGTTTGAGATGATGGCGCCCGACTGCTGCCATGGTCATTGTATTTGGGGATCAGGCAGTGGAACTGAATTCTTAGGCATGTGGCTGGGAATGGTGGAAGCAGGTACATGGTGGCGGAAACCCACACTAGTCTGCTGGGATGAAGGCTGTGCTGTTGTGCTTAGGCAGTAGTAAGTGAAGTAAGCTGGCAACTCTGACTACACCCTGGCACTGAGTAATCGGGGTGAGGGGGCAGAGTGCAGAGGGCAGAGAGGAGCAGGGACAAGCATGGGGCCAGGAAAGGTAGAAACCCTATTTGAATTAATATCAGTAAATTTCGATGGTAACCAATAAAGCTGCGGGTAGCTGGGAAATGATGGCATTCCAACATAGCATGAAGAGAACCACCCCAGGTTCTCATCCTGACTCTGAAACCAAACAGTGCCCTTTTCACACAAATCACTCATTCCTCACCTCAGCCTCAATTTCTGTATATGTTAAGTATTAATAGAAAATTGACACTGAGCTTCTGAAATTTGCTGGTTCTGTGATTTCAACAGAGACCTGAGGGGTTCACGATCACTTTGACTTCAAGGCTGGGTGAAGACAATCTGATGGATGGCTCCTGGGGCTCTGGCCCTGGACAAGAGGCAGTTCTGTTAGAGGGAGCCACCCCCACAGCTCAGAGCCTGCTGCTCTCTGGAAAACTGGCAAACTTTTTGATGCTTCCTAGAAGTTCTCTGAGTCCAGTGGAATTTGCATAAGGCCAAAATGTTCCCCTGTCTGAAGACTGTAGGCCTTAGCCAGGCATCCTGCCCAAGTTTTCTCTCCAAAGCAGGAATGTGGTTGTCTGAGTCATGCGAAATCCTGAGACAGAACCTGACAAGGTGACCCTGGCATCCTGTTTTAATGGCTCCAGGACCACAGACACTCTGCCCTCTTACAAGGGCTCATGGCTAAATTAAGCCTGGGTGCCATCAGGGTACCTGGCATTTGCCACCCCTCTGAAAGGACTAGCTGTAAGCACAGAGGAGGGCTGAAAGGAATCCTGAACTCCTGCTGTGCAGGAGACATCTGTACACAGGTGACCTGCACACAGTGGAAGGCACAGGCCCTGCCCCAGACAGCGCAGTGTTTACCCTACTTCGGGAAAGGGAAGCTTCTACTGTGTTACTGAACTTAAATCAACTCACTTCTTTGGAGCAGGATCATAGAACTTGTACTGATCCATGATTTTTTCTTCCAGTTTTTCCTTATGTCTTCGTAAAGCATTTAATTTGTCTCTGTGAATTGAAGAGAAAGAAAACCTATTAATCCGGTTTTAAATTTAAAAAGTGCAATTACTCATCAACGGCTGGGGCCTGCTGCAGCAGGGGCCAGTGTTTCTCTGGGATTCGGATATGAGGGTGTTCATCACCACCGTGGTCACTGAGTTTGGAACATATAAATGGGAGTACCTTCCTGGGTCTCTGGGGCCCTACAACCTTGAGATTTACTAAATCACTAGGATCCAGGTCTAAGTGAGCTCAAGGCAGCAAACATCTAACCATCTGAAAACCCAAGCACACAAGTCCCAAGAATTCTCCAGCTAGGTCACTCAGGACGCTGGGCACTCCTGGGGTCAGGTGGAAGCTACCTCTGGGAGCATAGATGTGGGATGCATATTGATTTGAGTATGGGGGTTGAAAATATTAGTTCAGCAAAGTTGGACCTGATTTGAGGCCATTCCAACTCAGAAGCAAACCCCAAAGCTTTTGGGGCCAAGCAGAGAGGACAACAAGCAAAACAGAGCCAGAAAAACCAAGACCAGAGGGGGAGGTGGGGACCACAGCAAGCTTCAGTCCGTCAGCCCGGCCACATGGGGACCAGTGCAGGCCCAGTGAGACAGACCTCCCGAGAAGCCAGAAGCCCAGACAATGAAGCAAAAATCTCCTGACTTAAATGTTAGAACCTGGTCCACGTTTTCAAAAGCATGGCAAGGGACCAAAGAGATGTCTCCTAAACTTTGAAGAACTACAAGGCACCCCTGCTTGCTAAAAGATTCTGTCCTTCCTAATATGAAAGGAAAGCTTCTGTTTGAGCTTAGGGAGCCCAGGAGCTGAGTGCTCTCCTGCTCACTTCCGCCTCACCATCTGTGCGGTCTCTATAGCTCAGAGCCCTGGTTTCCCTGCTTGAAGATGGGTCTTTAGGCACAAGGTCCAAGCGTCCTCATTCTCGAAGCTGCTATGGTTCTGACCAAACCAGGGCTTTCCAGAGAGTACACCAGGTGACCCTTTGTGGAAAGTTGCCCCAGCCATGCTGTGCTCCCAGACACCTCGATGACACCTGTGTCCTGGTACTGTCCTCACAGCTGTGCCACTGGGCCTCATGCTTCGATGGTTGAGTTGGTCCCATAGACCCACACAAACTCACGGGGCTAGAGCAGGCTCCGGTAAGCTTGCCAACCCGCTGGCCTGGGGCAGACGCTCTCTAATGCAAAACGTCATCAAATAATCCCCCTAGGTACCAAGCTCCTTCTCTTCCAGTCAGCACCTGCCCAACCTCTGCTGGTAATTTTTATCAGAGGAATTACAGAGGGCCAGCTTCAGGCAACCGTCATTTCCACCCCACAATTGCAGTGCAGTTTGACACACAAACCACCCTTTGGTAGGTGGGAGCCGCCGCCAGATGAGCAGATGAAGCCAAGAAGTAATGAGGAGTGGCATTTCACCAGGAGGAGCAGGGACACCACATGGCATCTTGGTGCCCAAGTCCTTCCACAGACGTGTTCCTGCTTGCCCTCCCCACACTTGCACCCGAGCCTCCTGGGACGCCCATCCCAGCCACTCCTGAGCACATGACAGATGGTCCAACCGCCATAACATGGAGTGGTGAAAACCACCCTGGATTCTTGATCTGTAAGGTTGCCAGCACCAGGGTTCTTCTTGTCCTTTATCTCTGAAAACTTCCCAGGCACTGTGAAAACTAGCATCCCTTTCCAATGAACCCAAAGTTTATAGCCAGACAGAGGCCATCCACAGCCAAGTGCCCACCTCCTTCTCCAGCCTTCTCTCTGGAAGCCCCTGCACATTCCCTGCATCCAGACTATCTACTATGCCCCAGCTCCCCAACCCCTGCATGCCTCCCCTCTCACTCGCCATTTAGCAGCAGAACTCAACACCCACCTGCAGCCTCCATGAAGCCCTTCACGACTAGCTGGAGTCAGACAAAGCTCTGCTCACCCTTACCATCCCTACTGGTTTCCAGCTGCCAGGGAACTGATTCTGTACACCTCACAGGGCCTATGCTTACACAGACATTTCACCAACACCAGCAGAGTGAGGGCAAGTAGGGCACACCAGACCCTGCCCCATGCCTAAGGGAACACAGGTGAGGTGATGAAAGACAGGCTCGTAGTCCTGTCTCAGGCTCAATTCTCTCTCTGAGATACCTTGTTATGATGATGTTGTATTTTTAAAAGTGAATTTAATTCCAAAAACAGAGAAAGAAGCTTCTAGGAGTGGACAGTGCCTTTGAAAAAGCAAACCAAAGCCAACTACCATCACTTCCAGAAATGGAAAACGTTCCAGGAAGTCGGCCTTGGTGAGTGATCCCCAGGACTCCAGTGGGCCCAGGGCTGCTCTTTGCCCAGAATGTCATAGGCCTTTGGTGTGAGGCAAGGGAAGCCAGGAGCTCCAGAGACTGAGGGCTCCTGCCGTGAGCAGCCAGGGAGAGGGGTGGAGGGACGCCAAGGCCCAGGAGACAGGGGCCCAGGGAGGCCGCAGCCCTGGGGAGAGGGGCACAGGGATGCCAAGTCCCAGGAGAGGGGGTGCAGGGACACCACGGCCCTTACATGTACTGCTTCTGTTCCTCGTGGTACTGCTCCTTGTTCTCCATATTCTGCTCCAGGAGCATCTGGTTCTGCTGGCTCAGCAGTTGGATCTGGCTCAAGAGGTGATGATTTTCTTCCTCCAAGTTCCCCTTGAGACGGGAGAGCAGCTGAAACACAGACCAACAGCATCTCAAACACTGCATGACCCGGTGGTTCCACTGCTGGGATCCAGCTTCCAAAGGCAGGAAAAGGCTAAGTGCACACAGACGTCCATGCTGGTGTCACGCGTACCTACACAAGTGAAAACTTGGAAAGGACTAAAGTAGCCCAAACTGGGAATGACTGGGTTCACTCCACATGGGCACTATCTGGTCGGTGACTCTGACAACGTGTGACTACTGAGCACTTAAAATATAGTGAGTGCAAATTAACTTGTACTGCAAGGGTGACATTCACAACAGATTTTGAAGGTATAATGTGGGTTAAAAAAAGTGACATATGTCATCAATATCTTTGTGTTGATTACATGTTAAAATGATACTTTATTTTTGTTGTTGTTGTTCTTGTAATTGTCACTGTTATTTGGCAGGTTTGAACCCGCCGGCTCCAGTGTATGTGGCTGGCGCCCTAGCTGCTGTGGTACAGGCACCGAGCCAACATTGATGTTTTAATTTCAAATTTTCTCTTGCCACAGACTATTGATTTTTTACCCTCCAATTGTTAAAAAGCACAAAAATCATTCTTAGTGTGTGGACCATATAAAATCAGGTGGTGGGCAGGGCTTGACTTGTGGACTGAAGGTGGCCAACTTCTCTTCTAGAATATTATTATACTGAAGTAGGGAGTTCACACACTCCCTACTTTTGGACTCAGAGACAGGGTTCCAGTCCACTGCTTATAAGGAACAAGATGGGCTCAGAAGGTCACTGTGAGAATTCAATGAGAACACAGACAAGCACCTTGCAAAATGTCTAGCACACCAGCAGTGGGGAATATGGGGTATTCCCTTCTCTTTACCCCATCAACCATTACAGAGGTCACTACAAAAGTTTTGAGACAGACTGCGCTATCCATTCTTCCACTTCCAAGAAACACAGTCAATAGCATCCTGATTCACCTGTACAAGTTTCAACTCTCTTGAGTTATCGGTGTTGCTGGGAGAGCGTCATTTGTTTCTATCCAGGTGAATTTTATGTTTCTTGATTTTTGTGTACCTCAAAACTTTCATAATAGCCTTTGTGTAACTTTGACTTCACCATAAAGAGAATAATCAAAAGTCTACCTATGTTGAACACAATTCTATACAATGTACGTATACACCGAGAGAAGAACTGGAAGGGAAAAGGAAGTGAAAGTATGACACTTTATTCACTAAAAATACTTCTGTGATTGTCACTGGTGTTTTATGCAAGAATTAAACGCATAATAAAAATGTTACTTTCCGCAGAGAACTAACTGCACTAGGCTCGGAGGAAAGTGCATCACAAACATGGTGAGTCAGCAGTCTGCGGGGTAAAAACCCAGCACTGGAAATTCTGTGGCCCAATGGAAAGACCTCCACGTAGCGACAGTACCCAGGGAGCCAAACATGGCCTGGCCTGTCCCTTTGGCTTCAGTCCATGATCCTCAGGGCTGCATGAACCCCAGTAATGAGGGGGCAGCTGCTCTGTCTCCTCATTAGATGCCCAGCAACAAACCAACCCAATTTGTGACCTACCGGCCTCCTGGAAAAGACGGAGAGCACAGCTCAAAGCCAAGGCACACCCAGCTTCACTTCATTCACTCAGCGCCCACAATGGGCTGAACTGTGTCCCTGAAATTCCCACCCCAAGTCCCTCAGAATGACTGCATTTGGAGCCAGGACCTATAAACTTAACACGAGGCTACGGTGATGGTGGGCCCCTGATCCACCTGACCGAAGTCCTTTTGAGAAGGAAATGTGAACACACAGACGCTGAGGATGAGCCCACAGAGAAGAGGCCACGTGAGGACGTGGTAACAAGGCGGCTCCCCATCTGCAAGCCAGGGAAAGGGGCCTTGGGAGACACAACACTGCCAGCGTGTGGACCAGGGACTTCCAGAACCGTGAGAAATGAACATCTGTCGCTTAAGCCACCTGGCCTGTGGTACTTTGTTACTGCAGCCAAGTAGAATGATGCAGACTCCACCTGAGGCCTGTTCGGGGGGACTGACGTGTGCTGGACCTGGAGTTCCATCGACACCCTTCCACTTGATCCACCATCCCTACTACAGCCCCCCAGCTAGTCCCCTCTCTGACCTGTGTTCCGACCTATCAATCATCACCATTTCCCCAAAAGTTCGCCCGCCCATTTCTGCTGCAATCAATCCTTTCCATGAATATTCCCCACGCCCCATTGGTGGAGCCCTTGCTAGTCCTTCAGCGTTACCACATACGTGACCTCCCACATGGCTCCTCTGGAGCCCATGAGCTGGAGTCCCCCCTTGAAAATCCTAAGGTGCGTACTGTGAGAGCAAAGCCCTGGAGGGAAAGGTCTCCCCAGCCACGGTGGTGCTGTCCATTCTCTCAGCCCCGCCCCCGCCTCAGTGAGGCCTTCAGGCTTCTGGGCCCTGCTGCTTCTTACCCAGAGGGGGCTGCGCAAATCAACACTCTGGGCCTCGGTTTCCACATCTGTGATATCTGTCACAGGGCTACCAGGAGGTCAAAGGAAGAGGTCTATATGATGGTTTCTTAAGAAAGGCAAGAGCAAACCCTGTCCTGAGGACACCTGCCACCCTGGGGCTGTCGAGGAAGTGTGTGAGACCCAATTGCTCTTCCTGCCACACACCCTGCCTGCCTTAAATATATCAGGGTCTCTTTGAGACTCACTGGAGAGGGTCTTGGTATTTAAGAAGACCATTTCCGACCAGCAGCCTAGAAGGAACAGGCCTGGAAGCCAGGGACTCCTGAATAAGCTCTGTCCCAACTTCCCCAGGGTTTGAGCCTGAGTTGGCCAAACCCCTGAACAGGGCACATTCACACCATTTCTTGAGAGCAGGGAGGCTACTGAACTGAAGCCATGCAGAAAGCCAGCATAGACACAGCCAAGAGGGCTAACTTAACACACAAGCTGCTGTCTTCACTGCACCTCTCCTGACCCTGCCCAGGCCAAAGGTCTAACACAGTCCCATGGCATGCAGCATCTACCCCATAAAATGTCTCCAGTTTTCATCTTAGCCTCTGTGCCACGCCGACACGTGGCCTTTGAGATGCACCAGGACTCGTCCCAGCCTGGCTGGGCTCTAGACTATCACTCTGGGGGACCTGTTCCTGGTATCCTGAAGCTCCAGCCTGGCCCAGGCCTCACCTCACAGTGGTTGTCCAGCTTGGTCAGCGAGATGTCCATGCTCTGGTGCTGCTCCTTCAGCTCATCGAACCGGGCCTGCCACCGGTTCAGCTCCAGCTGTGAGTTGTTCAGTGAGGTTTTCAGCTCCTTAGTGTGGGCGTGAAGCTCCTCATACTCCCCCTTCAGCTGGTGGTGTAGGAAGTTGACCCTGGGAGTGGACAGCCAAGGGGCTGAAGAGACTCAAAAGAGACACACACCAGGGTTCTGACAGTGGCAGGCTGTGCAACCTTACACAAAATCAGAACCTCTCTGGGACTCTGCTTTTTATGCATCGAAAATGAGGGGTTAAACAAAATTGCTGGTTTTCAAGCTTGTTTTTTAGGATTCCATAAAGGTACCCCTGGTGCCAGTACACTGGGCCTAGAGGAGACTGAGCAGGCAAGGCTCAGACACCTGAGTCAACAGAGCATCACGGCCACCAACCCTTCTAGGTATAGCTTTGGGATCTCTGCCTATTTGAAAAAAAGGATTCTGCTGTTAAAACTTTTTTAAACATTGAACCAGAACATTTTTGTGCTAAAACTCTATGTCTCTGACCAATTTCAAGCCCCTTTCTAATTTCAACTCCTGAGATAAATAAAATACAAGATAGTGGGTGGGTATTATGTAAACCTACTGAAATTATCATCATGATGATAAGATAATAACTACCACCCAACTGGGGTTTCTCAGGAGAAGATTTGGATCAGAAAGCTCCAATTACCAGGAGCTTGTGGACTCAATTTGGACACAGATGTGTCTTACTCAGCTTATTCTGTTTTTTTAAAGATTGTTTTTACCTATATTAAAAAATTTGGGCTCAACGCCTGTGGCTCAAGTGGCTAAGGCGCTAGCCACATACACCTAAGGTGGCGAGTTTGAATCCAGCCTGGGCCCGCCAAACAACAATGATGGCTGCAACCAAAAACAGCCGGGCATTGTGGCAGGCGCCTGTGGTCCCAGCTACTTGGGAGGCAGAGGCAAGAGACTCGCTTGAGCCCAGGAGTTGGAGGTTGCTGTGAGCTGTGATGCCACAGCACTCTACCCAGGGGGACAGCTTGAGGTCTGTCTCAAAAAAAAAAAAAAAAAAAAAAAAATTTGGAAGTTTCACAACAACATCCAAATACTCAGGTTCTCTTAAAAAACATAAAGCAAAAGGCTGATCTGGAAGCCCTTGGGCCTGCCTGCAGCTGGCAACCTTTCCTGGAGCAGATTCTTGCCTGCTTCTAGCAGTACAGTCTGTGCCAGGTTGCTGGCACCATTTCACCCAGGTGTTTTCCCTGCCTGGCCACTGGAGGCAGCTGAGTTTGTAACGTCCAATGTGCGGCCATGCACGGCCATGCAAGGATGTGGGAGGGAGAAGAGCTTTTTTACAATTAACCCTTGGAATGAGATAAGACCTGGAGTCTATCCTGCCTCTGCCATTTACTAGCAACATTGACCTTGGAGAAGTTATTTAATCTTGTTGTTATGAACCTGTTTCATCATCTGTTTAAAAAAAGGAAGGGGGACAATAATGGTATTATCGGTTCTCATTATCTGTGATCGGCACCTTTAAGTTACAACACTGAATTAGTGAATACAGAACCATCATGCCTTGAGAAAATACAGGCTTAGGCTCTTAGGAGCCTCTGCTTAACTGATAACCACGTAACCTTGCTTTACATGGGTTTCTGTTAAAGACAGAACACACTCACAGCCAACAGCACTGTAACTCACACCTGAATGGAGCTTACTTAACACGTTTTCTTCTGTAAGGTGGCTCACAGCCTTCTTATGCTAAGGAATACTAGGTAGCACGTAAATACTAAGAGTGAGGGCTGTTTTAGACAGCGAACGCACAAAATACAAAAATTGTGGCACTGAAGAGATTTCAAAAAGGACATTTGTTTGTAGTAGGGGAGCTGAAGCAAGAAGACAGTCTCAGGTAGAGATGTGCATGTCTAGAGACCCAAGTATTTCACTGCTCTGTGCCCATCCACAGCAGCCCCACCAGTATTGATCTTGGTGTTAACAAATTTTAGCAAGCAGGTAATTCACAAATGGAGAATCTGTGAATAAGGAGGATCAGCTATACTTTCTTCATGAGAATGCTGTGAGCTTATGTAAAATAATGAACACAACCTGTGTCTAATACGGTTATCAGCATAAGGGTGTGGGGTTAGACCACCAAACTTAGACAACACACTGTCCCCAGGTATCATTTGAGTCCTTGTATTCCAGCAACCAGCTAGAGTTACCCTTTACTGTATCACCTACCCAGCTATTAACATGACAAGGTTTATAAAAGTATACGACAGCCAGGAAACTCACTTGGGCTCCTCCTAGGGGCTGTTAAGTGAGACTGGTCTGAGCAGAATCCTGGGCACCAAACGCTGCTGCACTCAGGGCTGGGCAGGGTGACCCGGGTGCCACTGCACTCACCTGTCCAGTTCTCCCCGCAGCTTCTGGTTCTCGCCTGCAGCGATGGCGTTTGTCCTCTGCTCTTGCTGCAGAGCCTCCCGCTCTGCGGTCAGGGCTTTCTCCAGCTCCTCCAGCTCCGCCTTGCGTTTCAGCATGCTGCTGTGCCTGTCGGAGGGAAACACCCCGCTGGGAGTTTGGCCTGGGCCGTCTTTGCCTATAGGTTACTCATACCCCAGAAGACTCTGATGACTCCTCTGAGAAAGTGGATTCCTCTGCAGAAGTGAGGGGGACAGGGCAGAGCGCAGGTAGGGAGAGGTGGGATGGCAGAGAATTGGGGAAGCAGCTGCTGGCAGTGGTGTCCAGGCCAACGCCCAGCCCTGGGGCCCAGGATCCTCTTCCTCTAGGCTGATCCATCCCCACAGCACCCCAAATGCCCTGTCAAAGCAGCCTCTTCCTTCAGCCACCTGGCAACACAATGACTGTATTTTCAGAGCTCCACACCTCCTCTTTTAGGGAATTATAAATAAGCTATCAGGTGGCTTGCTAAACACAAATATATCTAAAAGAAAGAAAAAAACAAACAAAAAACCAGAATTCCCCTGTGCATAATAGTTAATCCCGCTCACTGAGGACAAGGGAAGCTTTGCGCCCCTCCCCCTCCCTCAGAGCTTAAGTCTGCTAATTTTTTTGTTGTTGTTAGATAAGAGTCTCATTATGTTGCCCTCGGTAGAGTGCCATGGTGTCACAGCTTACAGAAACCTCAAACTCTTGGGCTTAAATAATTCTCTTGTCTTAGCCTCCCAAGTAGCTGGGACTACAGGTGCCCACCACAATACCCAGCTACTTTTTGGTTGCAGTTGTCATTGTGGTTTAGCAGGTGCGGGTCGGGCTCGAACCCACCAGCCTTGGTGTATGTGGCCAGCGCCTACTCACTGAGTGACGGGTGCCAAGTCGAATCTGTTTGTTCTTAATTGCCCTTCCTGAGGGACAGAGGCTTGTCTAAGAGTTGGTAGTGGCTAGAGGTGTGTGTCACACTCACACACACACACACACACATTGTATGCACAGAGTACTTATTCCCATGGCCCCTCCACCAAAGCCCTTATCTTCCCCTACCACTTTAACCCTCCCTCCTTGGGGCTTTAATTTTCTTCTCCAAACTCAACCTTAGTAGGCAGCACAGCTGTCTCTGGAGGGCAGCAGAGCACAAGGACAGAGCCTGACAAGCCCCAGCCCTGCCAGAAAGCTGGCGCCTTCTGTGGTGTTCATGGACGACCCAGGATTTCCTCCAAGTCCAAAGGGTGCACGGCAGACTGGAAGTATGAGGGGTCTGCGGCACAACTCCTCTATCTCCCGTGTGGGCAAATGCTTCTCTAGAGCCCTCTTCCTTTCTAGAGAACAGCCAGTGTTCCTGGCAAACCCGGTCTTTATCTTCAGAACTCCACCTGGCCACAGCCCCTGGTGCTAGCCATTTCCGCAGCATCTGACTGGCGTGCTGACTCGTGGGGAGCCAAACTTGGTAAACTGCTCAGGCAGCTGCAAACTCCAACTTGCTGAAGGTGACGTTATATTTCCTTCCCTTTGGGAAAGCTCAGGTGCCCCAACAATGGGAAGCAGTGGGCCAAGAGGGGAGGTGGGGGCCGGGGTGGGAAGCCCCAGTCTTCAGAAGCCTGGCAGACTCCCTCTACAGGCCCCAGGCCTTAACCATTCCCCCAGCCCCCTCACCCCTGCAGGGCCCCACCTACCTCAGCAGGCCCCGCCCCAACCCCGCCCATCAGCCCAGGCCCCACCTCTCCCCCAGCTCCTTGTGTTCCAGCTCCAGGTTCCGATGCAGGGTCTTCAGGCAGCTGTGCTGTCGGATGAGGGCCTCATACTCCGAGGACTGCCGCTCGTGCAGTGTGCCCAGGTGCTCATGGTCCTGGAGCAGGGCCTCATAGGCCGCTGTCAGCTGCTCCTGCTGCTTCTGCAGGTTCTCATTCTCGGTCTCCTTGGATGTCTGCTGGTTCTGCAGCAGCGTGTACTGTGTGGTGAGTGCGGCATTCTGGGAGCTCAGAGTGGAGTTCTCCACCTGTGAGAGGGAGAAGGCTCCACTGAGCTACAGGTCCCCACTGGCAGTGAGCAGGGCCAGGAAGCAGGTGAAGCACTCTGGGCAGATGGGAAAGAGCAGGGACCCTCAGGGCAGGTAAGACCCAGAAGGTCTTAGCCCAGGAGGGCCCAGGACAGCTCTCCCAGAACACAAGGATCTGCTCTGAGAAAGAGATTAAACAAAAGTGGGAACTATCAGGTGATGCTTCAGTCCTGAACCACTCTACAAATGTGAGCTTTGGGGGCAAATCACACCCTTTCTGTGGATAATCTCCTCCCTTTTGGGCTACGTGTAAAAGCTGATTTTTCTAGAACAAGTAGACAGGACATCTGTAAAGATTATAGACCCCTTGAACAATAAACACTATCAACCAACTTAATGTAAGTGATGTTTGCTGAACACTCCAACAACATCAAAAATCATGACAAAGGTGAGAAGAGAGTACTTCCTAAATCATTCTATGTAGCCAGAACTGCCCTGATATTAAAACCAGACAAGGAGGGCAGCGCCTGTGGCTCAAAGGAATAGGGTGTCGGCCTCATATGCTGGAGGTGGAGGGTTCAAACCCAGCCCTGGCCAAAAACAAAATAAATTACTACTTTAAAAAAACAAAAAAACCAAACCAGACAAGGACTTTGTAAGAAACAAAACCAATATCCCATTTTCCTGTTTTAATAAACTAATCCCGACCTCTTTGCCAAATAGTTTCCTCTTCATTATCTCTGTCTCCTAAGTTATATTATCTTCAAATTCTTCCCAGAAACTGCATGAACAAATGATAAATTAATTCCCCCCCAATCTACTTATCATAATCATGCACTAGCATCCATCCTAAGTGGCCTGAACACTGGTTCTGCTGGCACCGCTTCAGAGCTTATTTCCCTCTTAGGGATTAAAAATTCATACTTAATAAAAGGCTCTGCCAGGTTCTCCGGCAGGGGTCCTCAAACTTTTTAAACAGGGGGCCAGTTCACTGTCCCTCAGATCGTTGGAGGCCCAGACTGCGGGCCCTGGGACGAGTTGGCTGCTAAGCAGGACAGGCAGTGGTGGCAAAAACACCCAGTAGGCTGGATAAATGTCCTAAATGTCCTAGGCGGGCTGCATGTGGCCTGCAGGCTGGAGTTTGAGGACACCTGTTCTATGGTAAAGAAACCTGGTTAATTCTGTTTAACTTGACATATTCGATTTCCAAACCCCCCTTTTCCAAGTCATTTCTAATAATATGTCAAGGAAGAGACTTTGGGGATCTTGGACAAGAATGCTGTTCACAGAAAGGCAGAGAAATGAAGTTTTTCACCTGTGCAGCCACAGGCTGCCGCAATAAGATGGCTTATAAACCACCACCACCTTCACAGATCACGGTGCATGAGACTATTAACAACAAGACAGAACCCCTAACTTCCTCCCTCCCCCACACTGTCCAGCTGCCCCCGCAGGGCTGTGCCTGCACTGAGCCCCTGGAGCCACGCACTCACCTGCAGCTTGGCTGTTTGGGTCTGCAGGGTGGTGTTGTGCTCCTGCAGGAAGGCGCTCTGCTTCTGCAGTGTCAGGATCTGACTGCTGAAGGCCACGTTCTGGGTCTCCAGGTGCTGTAGCTGTTCTTTGAGCAGCTGCTTCTCGGCTTGCAGGGCTGCATTCTAAAAGGTGGGGAAGCACGAGCCAATCGAGCACCAAATGGGCAAATGCTAACGGCTCACAGGTTCTTGGCTTGTATCAAACCTCTAAGAGTCACTACCTTGGGGCCAAAGCCAAAGTCCAGTGGGTGAAGCAAGTACCACATTCGCTCACACACCACGGGGGCCGCCGCAAGCACCTGAGTGTATGAGTGGGTGGCCGAGGCCCCTGGAGTTAAAGTTGCTTCCCTCTCTTGCTAATATTTTTGTTTTCTGCCGAACACCCTGAGAGTGCCTTTCAGTGACCCAAATCCATCTCCCTTTGACAATAACCCCAAATCTCTCATAGGACAGGAAGTCAAAGCTTTAGTCTACAGCTTCACCTCAAGTGTGACAGTAGGTAGGATATGGAGTTTCGTGTTATAGGAGACTAATAAAGACCACAGAAGGTGGGCTAGGGGTCCAGACCCTTGGGCCACAGTCTTGTATTAGCATGAGACTTTGGGTCAAGGCTCTCAAATTGTGTCTCAGCTTTCTAATCTGTCAAATAATAAAAATCATCACAAAGGACTTCATAATGTCACTGCTGAGAATCAGATAAAACCAGAGGCACAGACGTGCATTAGCAAACTTTTTCTGAAAGGATCACACAGTAAATACTTTTGGGTTGGCCAGCCACATGGTCTCTACCCCATCGCCTAATACCCTGACGCTGACCAGTGGGCAGGCAGACAGCCACGCACCACGGGAGACGGTGAGCGTGCCCCTGATGTCAGAATCAATGACAGCATTGCGAGTCTGCTGGACCCGCCAGGACAACTCAAGAATTGTCAGCTAGATTTGGATAAATTCAATACAATCTGATGTCTTGCATTCTTTATAGTAATTACATCTTGTCAGTGGGATGACCCACAGGAGGGTCTCTCTCTGAGCCACTGCCAGGGCAGCCCACTCACATTCCGTTCCAGCTCGATGGCCCGGTCCTTCACACGGAGTAGCTCCATCGTGGCTTCCTTGTGGCTGGGTCCCCAGCTTTCCTTCCCTGGGCTACTGGTAGCCGCCTTCCCCACAACGGGGTGCTTAACAGAGTTCTGCAGGTGCTTCCCCTCTTCCTTCTTCTGCCTGAGGCTTTCACACTCCTTCTTCAACTGTGGGGCACGACAACAAGAAAGCAGACTTCAGGCTGGAAAAAGCCTGGCTCAGGGCCGCAAGTCAGTGGCTTGGGACAGCCCCATACCACCCTTACCCTCCCAACCATTCACCTGCCCTCACATGTGACAGGCCAGACACCTCCCTTCCGCTTTCGTAGGGAGGGCACATAACCTCTGTCCTCCCTTCCTTTTCAGAGATGATAGGAAGGGCAGGGGTCTGTTCCTGCCACATCCCTGCTTCAGCCACGTGACTATGGCAAGTCTTCTTGCCCTCCTTCACCTCAACTGTCCATTCCACAAAGCAGAGGTGAGGCAGAGGAATGGGGACCAGGTGATCATGTACCTTATAAAGTCCCTGCTGACACTAAAACTGTTTTGTTCCAGATACCTACTCATTCCTACAGCCAAGAAACATTGCCCGTGTTCGAAAAGGAGGAATGTAAAAGCACGCGTTTAAGAAGGGGGAGAGCGTGTGCACGTGTGTATGTGTGGAGTGCGTACATGTATAGATAGCACGTGCATATATGTGCACGGAGAACATGTGTGTAAATGTGTGTGGAAAGCACACATCTGTATGCACATAGAAAGTGCACACACACATGGGGACAGCACTGTGCATACACGTACCCAGGAGCAGACACGTGCACATCTTCCTCATTCCTGAGCACCTGTCCCTCCCATCTGAATGTGCCTGTAACCTCTGCAGGCTTCTGCTCAGGGTGCCTGTGGCTTGGCTTTGCATGGGGCTGTCATGGGGTGTCCCCAGACCCCACCTGGCAGCCCTGGTGCTGCTCCCAGTCACCTGCCTCCCCCTACAGGCTTCTGACTCTCACTCTGGTTCCGTACAGCACATGTGATGCTGATAATGGCTCCCTCATTAACCCTGTGGCTCATACCACCTACCCCCAGAAATGGTATCCCGGGTGCTCTCAGCTGCACAGCTGAGGGGCTGGAAAGGGAGAGGCACAGACCTGATAGCTGGGGTCCCGTGCTCAACTCCATGGTGGTCACTCTTACCGTCTGGAGCTCACTCTGCAACTGGTGATTCAGGCTCACTTTCTCTTCCACCTGTGCTTCCAAGAACACAATTTTTTCTTCTTTCATGGCCAGGGTTGTTTTCAATGCTGATTCACTTCTGCCCTCCAAAATCTTATATTTTCTGGAAAATGCAAAGGCATTAATAGCATTGCTTATTTGCCTCATCACTCACAAGTCCCCAGTTTTCTAACTACCAACACAGCTTTCTTTCCATAAAACTGGTTTTTTTCACCACTCATCAGCCGAAAAATCAGGAGCCCAAGCCCAGCCTTCAAGAGCCCGCTTCAGGGTTCCATGAGTACATAGACCTATTAAACCCTCAAACACAACACTACCGCTACAGCTTTGTGACACTGTCTTTGGGCAATGAATGGCCATTTTACAGATGGGGAAACTGAGTCTCAGAAAGGTTAGGAAATTTGTCCAAGGTCACAGTGCTAACTAAATGGTAAGTCCAGGGCCTTTCCACTAAAGAGGTATCTCATTATCAGTTATGTGGATCTTGTCACTTGTAAGTCCAGGAAAAGCCCGAGACACTAAATTTCCTTGAAAAATAAGGTCACGTAAGAAAGCACTGCAGGGAAAAGCTGCAACAGTCAAACTTTTCTAAAAAATTAAGAAGCCATTTTATCAGACAAAAATCTCTCTCCACACTTGCCTGAGAACCTTAAGGAACAAGATCTGGAATGCAAAGGACAACAGCTTAAGGGACCCCATGAGGACAGAACTATAGACTAAACACGTGGGAAGCGCTCCCGTGACAGAAGGGTGTCCTCACGTGTCACTGTTGCTGTTGTCATCCTGCAGCAGCAGCTCCTTGCTGAGGCCGACCTTCTCTAGCTCCTGGCTCAGTTTGTCCAGCTCACTGGTCAGCTGCTGGCTCTTCAACTTCTCCAGCACCAGGTCCTGCAACAACCATGAAACAGGCGTATGGGACAGGAGCTCAGCAGGGACGCAGCAGAGAGGCCAGTGCCAGCCTAGCTCAAGGCTGCCTCATGGGGAGCCTAAACCTAGGGGATGTTCTTCCCGCAGAAAGGGAATGAACACACTGGCATGAAAACCACCAGTCCAGGTGCCACCGTACCGGGTCTAATGGGTTCCTTCTCAAAGATATGTGTTAGAATGACACTTACGTTGACTTCTGAGCAGCAGGTCTGATTTCTGATATGAGTGTCTTGTCTATGGGGCAACAAGTAATTAAATGCTCTCTGATCCTGTAATTCTATTTCTAGGAATATGTCCTCAGAAAAGTTTGATATATTCACAATGGTATGTGTGTACACAAGATGGCTAGTGTTAATAGCGGAAAATACTGGAAACCACCTTAATATTTAAAATAGAAACACTGTAAACTATAGGATCAAATACATGTGTCTTGAAGCCATTGAGAGATGTGCCTTTAAAACCTATTTAGTAAGACAAAATAAATAAAAAACAGACAGCCGCACTGTGTATACAGCATATCGAGCGTGTGTCTGCTTTCTTATGCATAGCGGAGATAACAGAGATAACGGAATGAAATAAGCCAAATGACCAGGAGCAATTCTCTGTGGAAGGACTGTTACACGTGACTTTCACCGGGTTCTTAGACCTGAAGGTGTTACTCTGCTGAGAACTGGGGAAATCATTCGAGAAAGACACGGAGTCCCACTTCTATCCTGGAACCCTCTGCCTGCTGACACCCCCCGACCCCCGACCCCCGAGGAGAAGCCTGGTCCTGCTCACCTCCCGCAGGGTTGTCAGTGTCCTCGTATGCACGATAACTTGCTTGGTGAGGTCCCTGTTGTCCTTCTCCAGCTCTTTCAGCTTGCCGGCTGCATCCCTGCAGCGGGCCAGCTCCCGGTCCAGCGCACGGCTCTCCTTCTCGGCAGCGGACAGCTTGGCGCTGCTGTCGTCCAAGACCGCGTCTTTCAGTTCCACCTGCTGCCACAGCCGCTTGGCCTCCTTCTCCAACAGCTTCTTGTCCTTCTCCAGCTGGGCCACCTCCTGCTCTAGGGCCTTCTTGTCCCTCTCAGCTCGCTCGAGCTGCACGCTGGCCAGCCGCAGGGCCTCCAGGTCCCGCTGCAGTGCCTGGTGCTCGGCCTCCAGCTCGCCAAGCTCACTCTCCAGGGCCTGCGACTTACGGCCGCTGTTTTCCAGGCTCTGCTGCAGCCGCAGGTTCTCCGCACTCACGCTCTGGTAGCTGAGCTCCAGGCGCTCCGACTTCTTGCCCAATGCCTTCAGCAGCTCCACGTTCTTCCTCAGCTCCTCCTTCTCACGCTCCAGCTGCTGGTTCTCCCTCTCGATCTGTGCCATCTTGGCGCTGGTGAAGCGCATGGCCTCCACCATCTTGCGCAGCTCCAGGTTCTCCGCGTCCAGCTGCTTGTTGTCACGCTCCAGGCCCTCGAGCTGCACGGACACGTTCTGCAAGGTGTCCAGAGACTTCCTCAGCGTCCGGTTCTCCAGCTGCAGGCCCTGGCTCTCATGCTCTAGGGCCCTGGCTTTCTCAGTGGCCGTCTCCAGGGAGGTCACCTTGCCGGCCAGCTGCGTGTTCTCCTCCCGTAGCCGCTGCAGCTCCCCCTCCAGCCTCTCCGCCCGCTGCCCCTTCTCCCAGGCCTGCTCCAAGTCTCTGTGCAGCTGCTGCTTCTCGAACTCCAGCTGGCTGAGTTTGCTGCTGGCCTCTGTCACCGTCTGGTGGAGGGCCTTGTTCTCCTTCTCCACGTCTTTCACGCGGGCCTCGCTGCTGACCTGTGACCTCTCCCGCAGCGACCAAATTGCTCGGTTGAGGTGGTCCTTTTCTTGCTCAAGGTCCTTGATCTATGGAATAATGTATAAATAGGCTGTGGTATGACCCCATTTTAGTGATGTGGGCTCACACCAGGGGCTGGAAAGTGGAGGCCTTGAATGACTGCCCTACCTGTGCCCAAATGTGTCTATATGCTCCCCAAGGGCCCGATGTAGACGCAGGTGAGCAAGCATAGATGTGATCACTTAAGACGGTTCCAGTTAAAACACACTGAGAGTGGCCAGGATGGTTTTCCAATGGAAACTACATCTTTCCCGTACTTGCAGTTTTAGTGATTTCCCTCATACTTTTTGGTCATGGACCAGGATCCTGATGACTGGGCTCTACCCATCTCTGTGGCCTCCCCTCAGGCCACTCCACTGTCCACCATTCCCAGCCCTTTCCTCCTGGGGACAGGTGGCACATGCTGTGCCCTCTGCCTAGAGTACCCTCCCCTGGACTTCAGCCTCACCAACTCCCTCTTACCCTCACGGTCAGTCCACAAAGAAGACTGGTAAGGTGCCCTGCACTCCAGTATTCTCCCCTCAGCACCCGTCTATACCCTGAGCAGCACACACCTGAGATTGCCCTGCCTGTCACCTGGCCATTTGCCTTTCCAGCTCTGATCTGCATCCGGGCAGGGCACCGTCTGTTCACTACGTGCAGCGCCATCCCGACCCTCTTTTCCCTGTTAATTCAGCTCCTACAGAGGCTAAAAAACTAAACCCTCAGTACTCTGGCCTCCCCTGTGGAGGCAGTCACACATCAGCTGGCTAAGGCAACATCCAAAGAGGGACCTTTGGAGCCTCCTTGTGCTTTTCTGCCTTCCTCCTGCCTGTACCTTGGGGGTGTGCAGCAGCCCTTGCTAAGGCCAGGAGAGCAGTCAGTGAGAGGCCAGTTTCTGGTGTCACTGAGCCACTGCATTGGCCCTGGAATGCCTACCCCGAGGCAAATAAAACCTGTTAAAGCCTGGGCTATCGGGTGGCAGCCGCAGCTCAGTGAGTAGGGTGCCGAGCCATATACCGAAGGTGGTGAGTTCAAACCGGCCCCGGTCAAACTGCAACAAAAAATAGCTGGGTGTCGTGGCAGGCGCCGGTAGTCCCAGCTACTCGGGAGGCTGAGGCAAGAGAATCGCCGAAGCCCAGGAGTTGGAGGTTGCTGTGAGCTGTGATGCCGTGGAACTCTGCCAAGGGTGACAAAGTGAGACTCTGTCTCTAAAACAAAAACAAAAACAAAAAAAAGCCTGGGCTATCCTTTCCTGCCAGTGCCATGGTTCTGAGCCAGGACATTATACACACTTGTAGCTGGATCATTCCTCGTCACAGTGGACTACGTTGTGCATTACAGAACATCTGGCAGAATCCTTGGCCTCCTCCTAGTCCCTGCACAGAAGCATCATCCACCTTATCCCCTAAGTCATGACAGACAAAAACATCATTAGACTTTGCTAAATGTCCCCTAGGGGGCAAAACCCAGCCACCTTTTCCCAGTGCCAGCTGATAAGTGCTGGTTTAAGCCACAGCTAGGGGAGGTGACTGATAATCACGTGTTGTGACATATTTCTGGGAGTGGCCAAGACCCTCTGCTCCCTTCATATGGGCAGGGGTTCTAGGAGAGGTGAGAGGCGCCAGCTGGGACAGCACCTACCTGCCGGGCTCTGTCAGCCTTCAGGGTTTCCATGTCGCTCTGCAGCTGCTCCTTCTCTTTGATCAGCTCCTCACTGAGGGTCTCCAAGTCCTGGTTGCTTTGCTTTTCTCTCTCAAGCTGAGTCTGTAACTTTTCAATCTGCAAAGACCCAGCCCGGTGCAGAAGTCAGTCAACAGAACCATGACCAAACCCTCAGCCCCACAGAATAGGGAGCTCTTCACAAGAAAAACCTCCTGGCACAGTTCTGTGGCAATCTCCTCACCCCCTCACCCTTCACTCTTAGAGACGAGGCCACCAGGCACCAATCTGTTGACACCCCCTCCAAGCCTGTCTCTTCCAGCTGGCATGTGCCCCACTGCCCAGGTCTGCCACTGCTGGGCAACTCAGGGGGACCCCACTCACCATCCCCTTGTCTTCCTTCCTGAGACTCCCTGCCTTAATCAGTGATGCCACCCAGCTGCCTGATTGGTCAAATAAATTTGTCAACAAGTCCTGTGCTTCCTACCCATCCTGCATCCTCCAGAATCCCGTCGTGCCTCTGCCTCAGGCCAGGTCACATTTCTTCTCGCCTGGACAGCAGCCCAGGGATCTCCCTGATACCATGCTCCTTTGCTAAACTATGTCCACCCCCATGCTCCTTTGCCATCTATGTCCACCCCTCCCAAACAACATCAACTACCTAACCAGGTACATGCACATGTCATGCACACGAGTACCTGGATACAATATTAAAACACAGATTCTAGGGCAAGGCCTGAGATCCAGCTCCCTGGTAGTGCCCATGCTGTGGCCTGCACTGCCTGTGTCATAAGGAGTTAAAGCCTGGGTTGTCCTTTCCTGCCAGTGCCAAGCTCCTTAGCATGGGGGACAGGACTGGGAGAAAAGGCAAGATGCTACTAAGAAACAGTGGTCAAAGTCTTTCCTCCCTCTTATGTGGCTGTGAGGGAGTTTCCACAACCGACCATCAGGGCCAGCAGTACCCATGTGCTGAGCACGTCCTTCTAAGAGTAGCTCACCCAGCACACAGCAGGTGTAATCCATGATGCCCACCCCACTCCCCCCCTGTGGGCCTGAGCATCTGCATTCATGTACTCCTAGCTATTCTGGTGCTGCTGGTTCAAGACCACTGTTCTAAAACCATGGTTCTCAAGGGGAATGATCTGGGAAGCTATGGAAAATCTGATTCTCAGACCAACAATTAAATCAGAACCTCTAGAGATAGATCCAGAGATACCCAGGTGACCAGCGAGCAGCCTGCACTGAGACACTGCTCTAATTCAGCCTACCTAGGGTGGGACCTTGCAGGATAGGTTTGCAGAACTTCTCGGGTGATTCTAAGGACCACTGTCTAAGGCAGCTCTGCCACACTCCTCACTTGAGGGGCTACCAGCCTTCCTGCCTCCCAGGTCTATACATGGGCTCAGACTGTCCCCTGCCTCAACCCAGGGAACCCCAGGACAACAGTGCCTCCGCTTGTCAGGCTGCATGTGGGTCCTTCTCAGAAGTGGAGCATCTTTCCCTCCCTACCTCTAGCAGAAGGCCTGGGACACAGAAGGGAGCCAGAGCTTGCCTCTGAGGGGCCCATTCCTAAAAGCAGCAACATAGGTCAAATGCAGGAAGTAGCGTTGGTGTGACCACCCAGCCCTGATCTTACTCCTGGGGGGCCTGCCCCAGCTCCCTTGGCCCCCCCCTGAGCTAGACTGGCTCCAGAGTCTGATTTTATCTCTTCTCCCCCTTTGCTGCTAATGCTTAGCCCCTCATCCCTACTGCCCCTTCTCTCTCAACCTTCTGACTGTTCTTAATTCTGGCCTAAAGATGTGGTTTCCTGGGTCCCACCCACCACTGCCGGACCCTTGTCTTTCTCCTTCTATGGCACTTTGTCCTGTACTCCTCTCCATCCTGAGGATGTCAGTGCCTCTGAGGCGCTATGAGGAGATGTGAGCTAGCTGCAGGCCTTCTGGCCCCCAAAAGGGTCCTTGACCTTCTCACAGCCCCTTTTTTGGGCTATAGACTCCTACAATGTGGCCTTGGCCTCCCAGGACCCCTGGATATCTCTACACGGGCTGCTTCTGCCTGTTCATGACAGGCCCCTAAAGAGTTGCTATTCTATCCCTAAAAATGAGGATTCTTTCCCTCTTGACTCAAAGAATGAACTCTTATGAAATCAATACAAAGTTATAGACACAGAGGAGGGAGGCAGCTCCCCCAGGATCCACAGAAGTGCCATGAGTTAGAGAGAATGAGGTTTTCTTTTGGAGACAGAGTCTCCCTCTGTCACCTAGGTTAGAGTGCTGTGGTGTCATAGTTCACAGCAACCTCAAACTCTTGGGCTCAAGCCATCCTCTTGCCACAGCCTCCTGAGCAACTGAGCCTATAGGGTCCTACCACGGTGCTTGGCTAGTTTTTCTGTTTTTAGTAGAGACAAGGTCTTGTTCTTGGTCAGGCTGGCCTCGAACTCCTGAGCTCAAGCAATCTACCCTCCTCGGCCTCCCAGAGTGCTAGGATTATAGGCATGAGCACCCAACTAGGAAGGATATTTTAATGTCAGGGAAGTATGGTTTCCACAGACGTCAAGGAACTAAGCCAGCTCACAGCCTGGGCTATGCTCCTGAGGTTCCCCCGGGGGGCTCAGTGGAGACTAGTAGGCTCAATTATAGACTGAGATACGGTGGCTGGGTGGCTGAGGCTGGGGAGAGAAGCTCAGGATGGGCTGAGCTAACTGAGGGCCAAAGGGCCAAAGTGTGACCCTCCCACCGGTGCTAAAAGTGTTCTTCCATTAAATACTAGGGAGGACCATTGTGTCCCAGTCTCTGGGCCAGGTGTCAGGGACAATAGGTCCATGTGCCATATACAGAGAGTGAAAGAAGAACCACTCATGCTGGGTCAGGCCAGATTCTAGCCAGGCCTGGGGCAGGCTAAGCAGGACAGGGAGGAGAGGGGTCCAAGTATCTGACAGCTCTTGCCTGCCCGCCCCTCCCTTCCGGCCCTCCCAATCCCCAGGCACAAGGGAGTCTGTGCCAAAACATGACCTCTTCAGGGCCACAGCAGGAAAAGGCTGGCATCCGGCCAGGGAGTTAGAAGGGTGTGACCTGAGGGAATGGGCGTAAGGAGTCATGCTGGGTGGGCAGAGGAAGGACAGCAACAGACAGGCCAGGGCAGCAACACATCTAAGAACCACCCTTGTGGCCTGCTAGAAGGGGACCCACAAAGGTCCCTGGGCCAGCGAGATTACAATGCAGGCTTTCCGGGGCAGAGCTGAGAGGACTCGCAGAGTTGGAAATTCTCATCTTCTAAAGGTCTATTTATCTTGGCCAAGGTTGGGCTGCCATTTGTGAAGTCACTTCCTGTGCTAGGTCCACATGAATCTAAAGAACCAAGACTTTCTAGGAACTCTCTCCATGCTGCCCCCCTGGAAGACATGGCCTGAGAAGGGGGTGTTTTCCGTTGTCCTGCGAGATGACAAACCACTTGGCAGCTGAAACGCTGTAAGGTACACAATGCTTCACAGGGACAACCCAAGGAACCTACTCACAGCAAGGGGGTGTGTCCCACACTTCACTCAGAGGTGAAGAAAAAGCAGAGCAGGACCAAGTGGACCCAGGAATCCTGCCTGCATCCCACACTCTTCCCACAGTCCTGTGATGCTGCAGGCTGACCCCTGGAAATGCCAATCCTGCGTGGCAGTCGGCCTGTAAGAACTCTCGCCTCCTTCCTTGGCTAGAATCTGCCAGCTGGTGTGTTCAGAGCCCCGATGCACCTGTGCCATCCTCGGTGTGGACCAGACGAATGAGGTGCCCTCTGTTCCTGTAGGTGACCCCTAGCCTTGTGATGGCCCCTTCCCACATCTGAGACCAGACTCGCTGTATGAACGGGGATCCTGGTAACTGGAGAACAAGGCTGGCCTGTAAAGGTCTGTCTCCCCTCCCACAGGTCTGGGTTCTGCTGGGCTACCAGCAAGACCCAGCTGCTGCCCTTGAAAGCAAATGCTCAGCTGGCTCTTCTTCTTACCCCATAAACCAAGAGGAGGGAATGAGCACGGATAGACTTGCTTATTTGACCACCAGTAAGAGCCTAAAATGCTCAATCGTCTCACGCTCAGGCGCACAGCTCTGAGCCTGGAACTCTGAACCACACACAGTGCTTCCTTGCCCCCGCCCCACGGCGCTTGTTAACAGAGCGCTGCTCTTTCCCCTGAGCACCCCCTCTGTGCCAAGCCTTACACACACCAGTCCCACTGTCCTCACGCATCCATTAGGTCACGTGACACGAGAGGAAATGCGCATTTGGTCTCTTCCCAATTTCCTAGCACAAGCTCCTAAAACTCTGAGAACCTCCAAAGTGGTAGATGTCTGTCTTGTACACTAGTGAGATGTCAGAGGGCTGGGGGCTCCCGGGCAGCCTCAGGATGAGGGCCGGTTGCCAGGGGAACCCACCATGTGATTAGAGGGTTGGAACTTTCAGGGCCCCCCACTCCAGGGAGAAGAGAAAGGCTAGAGGTTGAGTTGCTCACTGATGGCCCAGTGACTTATCAGCTGCGCCTCCGTCTGTGTATAAAATGCCCCAAAGCGAGGTCAGAGAGGCGTCTGGGTTGGTGAACACCTGGGGGTGCTGGGAGGAGGAGACCCAGAGTGACTGGGGAGCTCCGTGCCCGTTCCCCAAGCCTGTGCATCTGAGCTGCTCCTGAGCCGTATCCTTTACAGTAAAGAAGTAACAGGAAGCCATTCTGGCAACGGTGGAACCCGAGGAGGGGAGTCTGGGAACTTCTGACTTACAGTCAGTCAGCCAGAAGCACAGGGGACAGCCTGGACTTGGACTAGCATCTGAAGGGGGGCCAGTCCTGTGGGACCGAGTCTTAACCTGTGGGATTTGTGCTAACCTGGTAGACAGCACTGGAACCGAGTGAAAATGGAGGACACCCAGCTGTGTCCACCGAGAACTGGAGATTTGCTCCGTGGTGAAAACCCACAATGCGGTGTCAGAAGGGAAGCGCCAAGGGCAGTGACGTAGAAGAGAAAAAGGGTTTTCTCCTACTGGTGGTGCGCCCTCAACCCACATCACAGAAGACAAGAAGACACAGACGTCACCTGTCCAGCAGAGCAGGGACAAGCCCATGCTGCCTCTGACGCATCTCAGGTGTCTCTCATGTCCCTCTGTTATAATTAACTGTGACTGATCTGGACACCTCACTCTCCTCAACACCCTACCTGGCCCCCTTCTTGCCTGTCTGTTGCAGACAAGAACTGTGGAGACAAGAACCAGCCTGCCTTCCTGCCTTCCCCTGACCCGAGCAGGCCACGGCTACCTTCTTACTGAGCTGGTGGTTCTCCTTCTCCAGCTCCCCGCACTTGAGGCTGCTCTCCTCCAGCGTGAGGGCCGCGTCCCTGAGCCCCTGGATGGTGCTCTGCAGGCTCTGGTTCTCCTTCTCCAGCTTGAGCACACGGCTGGAGGCGCACTCGTTCAGCTCAAACACGAACGACTTCCTGGAGGCTGAAGCACGGAAGGCGGTCAGAGCCACGGGTTCCAGGGGCCTCTGCTTTCACCCCTGCCCAGGATCTGAGAGGGGCTCCCACTAGACACTCCCTCCTCCCTCCACCCCCACTTCACGTGGGGTTGCTGCCACCAGCACCCGAGGGTCCCTCTGAGGGGGGCAACCCAGAGCTCAGGAAGAAACAGGCTCTGGCTAAGGTGTTGATGATGCAAGAGTTGAAGGCTGTGTGACTTACAAGCAACCACTGGCTGCTAATCCATCTAACTCAAGGATTTCAGAGGCTAACCAAGATGGCCCACAAGTGACACTTTCTGTGCTTGCTCAGAGTAGTGGGCATGTGGGCTGTTCAGAAGGTAGGGGCAAGGGACCTGATGAGTGAGGTCAGCTGCCGGTGACAGGGAGCTATGCTAGGATACCTGCTGACCACTTGGCAGCCTGGGCCACAGCCTTTGTACAGAGATTTCTTTTTACATCTTCATACTTTGAAGAAAAGGGACATACTATATGCAAATTGCTTAAGAATTCTAAGTGAAATGAACAATCAGCTAAAGATAGAAAAAGGCACATTATCCTACAACCATCAACCCCTATTCTGCTTTTAAAGAGCTCTGATGCAAATAGAAAAGGCAAGAGCTGGGAATGGGAGTTCTTGGTCCTCTATTGCACAAGCAGGGGATAAGTTACAGGGCTTTTGGGGAGGGGAAAAGTATAGGAAAGCCCCCCCCCAAAGAGGGATCAGAGTTGTCACAGACCCCACTGTTCCCACTCAGCAAATGTCCTTGTCCCGTGGAGCCTTATGACTCTGTGCGAAGGCAGCTAACCCCACCCTGGCCTCTTACTATCATCTCAGGACTATGGGGAACAGCGGGTGATGGCTCTCACAGCACACACAGCCATCTAGAGACAAAATGGGTGCGTTCAGATCCTCTGGGTGATGGTAAGGATTAAAAGGCACCTGTCTTCTCCTTTGAGTTTTCATCTTTTACCAAGGGTAATAGCACAGGCCAGAATATCCTGAAGACCCAAGGCAGCAGCAGAGGACCGGGTGTCTATGGCCCTCACCTGGGCCCAGTGCTGATTTACACATAAACACACATACGCTGGACATATGAGGTTGTTTGGAGGGCTTTGTCCTGACTGTGCTGCAAATGAAACTAACCTGATCTGACACACCTAGCTCCACTAATTCAGAATCTGCGATCATTTGGGACAGTACCTCTACAGCATTTATGATTTTTTTATTATGGCAAAACACGATTTTAACCATTTTTAAGAATATAGATCTGGACACCAGGTACATTCACATTATCCTACAACCATCACCCCCATCCATCCCTTTTTATCTTCCCAAGCTGAAGCTCTATACCCACAGAGAACAATTTTTAAGGTTCTACAAGTTAAACAAGGGAACTGATTATAAGCCTTGTTTCCTCTTCTATAAAATTCAGGGAAGACTATTAACATTGACACATGGCTTACTACTCAGAAAACCAATGGTTCTTCACTGGGGCTACTCTCATCGGCACACCCGAGTCTATCCAGAGCAACCAGCTATTTCAGAAAGGCAATGGCAATAAGGACAGACGCCCTTGACCAAGGCAGGTTCGTCACCCCCATTTAGAGCTGAAACTTAAAGACGTCAGTATTTGCTCTGGGTCACCCAGCTGACTAGTGGAGGAGCCGGGACTTTTTGTCAGGTCTTTTAACTCAAGAAACACGACACTATAAACTCGAAAGCATACTGGGGCTTTGCCTGCCTTATGCCATCATCCAACCCAACACCTATCAACTCCTAGCTAGGTACTAGCAACTGAGAACACTAAGACTAAAGCATGGTCACTGACCTTAAAATGGCTCACAAATTATCCTGAATAGTCGGAACTGGTGAGGCCGTCTAACCTCCCCCACCCCTACCAGCCACTCTGGTGTAACAAGTACATGAGTCATTATGAAAGTTCTGAGATACACAAAAATCAAGAAGTATAAAATCTGCATGGATGAAAACAAATAAAGCCCTTTCAGCAGCACCAAGAAGTCCAGAAGTTAAAAATTTCACAGGGGAGTTACAGTGTGATAACTATAAGATGTTATAGTGTGTTTCTTGGAAATGAAATAATGGACCATAATACAATCTGTCCCCAAAACTTCTGTAGTGACCTACATATCGTTATTATTCATTTGATTGGAGACTGGCCTAGGCAGCCTGCACCTCCTCTTTGCTCCACCAGAGGGCAGTGCCCTCACACAGACCTGCACTTGCAGAAGCAGGGAGTTTGGGGGGGATTCTGCCCCTGCGCAGCCCTCAGGCCCAGCCAAACGCACAGGCTCCAGAGCACAGACAGACTACTGACTTCTTACACAGATTAATAGTGTAACTAGTTGATTTTAGGGTTGGAACTGAGAGGACCCCTTGATGAGAAGAATATTCAGCTGCTTTCAATAACCTTCCAGCTTATTTAGGGATATTTAGCAGAATTATAAAAAGCCAACAGCCCTATCCCACTCTAAAGTTCCAAGTAAATATTAACTTGAATTATCAGGTGCATGGGAATGGTGCTATTTTTGAACACAGGAACTGGCTTATTGTTGGCCGGGTGCTGAGGCTTCCTGCTGCCCCACCCTCCCTTCCTGACTGACACCTCGGGATGCTGGGGCAGCGGGTAGCAGAGCAAGCCCAGGCAGGAAAGGAAGAGGCCGGCAGATCAGCCAAGAACCCGGGTCTTAGAAGCAGCAACCACTTAGCACCCCCACCCAGGAGACAGAGGACAGGCTGCATCAATCTTACCCAATTATGCAAATGAATAGAGGAAATAATGCCCAGGGTACATTTAGAGTGGAGATTAGTGACCGCTGGGATGCCTCCTGCCATTCAGGGCTCTCAGCTATCCACAGACGGCCTGAAATGTTTTCTGGGTGTCAGCATGCTATAATCTGGAAGCTCCTGGGAGCATCCATATGGGAACTGGGAAATCTGGCAACACTTAATTTGTGTTTAACGTCCTGACATCAAGGCTGCCAGACCCCTCATGTTTTCCCTGGGGAGAACTGTAATGAAACAGTTCCAAATGGCACTTGAAGGAAATCGTATTTACTTGAGGTGAATGGATGGGCTGACATGGAACGTTCAGAGCCAAGGGCTCAGCTTCCTAGATGAGGAGGTGGCCACAGCCAGGCTGGTCCCAGGCCCCAGGCACTACCCACCGTCTGACAAGTCTGCGTTCTTGGACAGCTGCTCCAGCTCCCAGCCGAGGTGGGCAGACTCGTTCATGCTCTGCTTCTGTGCAATCTCCAGGACCATGTTTTCTTCTAGCAGCTCCTCAATTCGTTTCTTATCTGTGTCCCGGTCCTAGGGCAGGAGGAGGGAAGAAGTGAGGATGCAGCTGGGGGGACGTTCTGGGCAAGCCCCAGTCCCTGTGCATCTACCATCATGTACCTGCTCACCTCCAAACAGGGCCCACCCCACTGTGAGAGGTAAGGCCACTAAAAGATACCTTGACCTGGCTACCTAGCTTATGAAGAGAGATAGGAGGTCCCCAAATACATACTGTCTGAACAAAGTGACATACTATATGGGGCTTTAAAGCAAGTACTATGGTGACAGCCAGCTTTGTGGCTCTAAAGCAGACCTCAAAAGCTGTGAAGAGGCTAAAGAATTACGGCTCAATCCACACATAAAAGCCAGCAAAGACCTTTCTTGCAGAAGACACACATGAATGTACATTCATCCTTACAGAGATTTTCTCTGCTGTAAGAAAAAAAATCCGTGAATCAAAGTGCTGTCTGTTTGTGGGTGTTAAGTGGTACCCACTGGAGCCCACTGATGTAAGCAAGCTACTCCCCACAGTCAGTAAGTTAACTGGCAGCAGCACCAACAAATCCAATAACTGAATAGCAGAGATGGGCATGGCATAAACCTGAAGGTGCCCGGTCCATTTTAAGTCAGTAACAACCAGCATGCAGTACCAATTCCAGGTCGTGCAGTTTAGATTTCAGCTGCAGGTTTTCCTTCTCCAGCTCGTGGACTTTATCACCCCGGGTGCGAGCAGCAGTCAGCTGTTCCTCCAGCATGGCCTTGGTTTCAATTAAAATGATATTATCTTCTCTGAGCTCCTGGTGAGCAAAAACATACAAGAGGACCATCAGATAAAGGCACCTGAGTCATGACTACAGAACTCTAAAACCAAAGCTCTTTTCGGCATCTAGATTCAAAGAATCCAGAGAGAAGGCCAACGTGGCAGGACGTTTTGGTTCCACTTTTTATCATCGTCACTTTTTTTCATTAGGCAAGCACAAACAGACCTTCTCTACTGTAAGAAAAAAATCCATAAATCAAGAAAATATCTAAATTTGAGAAGGCAACACTTCCCGAACGTCTGTTGTAGTCGAGTGCTACAGGCTGTGGTGACAGGCTTTGACGTAACCTCATTTAGAGGGACAAGTGGGTTCTGCTGACATTACAGGACCTCGGAACCCAGTTTCCTTAACAAGGAAGCGGTAGGGCTGAGTCTATCCCAGGTTCCAGGTCTGAGTCTAGTCCTCTCAATTCAACATTCATTCCTGGCGCAGGGGGGCAGGGATGGGGGCACGCTATTCACTCAATATGCAGTTCCTATTTGAATTATTTTACAAACATCACCTTGGAAAAACAAGTTCTTGGTAGTTTCCTAGAAATGGGGAGTCTTAAGACGGTTAAGATACACAGCAAACCAAACAAATGTCAGCCCTACAAACATTTTTGGGTCAGAGTGCCACCGGATTCTGCTTTTGTCGCCGGCAGTGGCATGTGCAAAGAAGAGTCAGTCTGTGCCCACACCACAACTGCTCCGCTGGATAAGGGCCTTCTGGGTTTCTCTTATCCACTGAGCCTTTTCAAGCACCCCTCAGCGTCTTGGAAGGACTGGCTTCCCCCAGAATGCCTTCATAGTTTACAAAGAGCACACACTGGGACACTGCCTGCTTCTTCCAAACCTTTCTAAGGTTTATCCTATTCACAGATTACAATGGGAACTAGGCTGGGAGTTTCTGCTGATCGACTATTTCAGTGATCTTCAACTCATGTGCTGCGGCACACTGCTGTGCTACGCGAGGATCTTAGGTAGGTGTGCCATGAAAAGTTTTAAAGATCACTAATTAAATTATTTTTGAAAGATGTTCAAAGCACAGTGAGTATATTCATTATTTTACTTTTGTTGATGCATGTAATTTAAGTGTGCTGTGGGATAAAAAAGGCTGAAAAACACTGAACCATGTGCTCATCTTCCTACATGGGCCAAGATCCAAAATTCTTGGTAGAGGGGAAACCACATGCTTTCCAGTCAGCAGACATGGTTTTGATCAAAGCCTGGCAGCTGAAGTCACCTGTGTGCCTTCTCTCTGCCTGTCCCCAGCAGGACCTGGTCTGTTCTGTGACTGACCCTGCACCCAGCAATTCACATCTATTCATGTCATTCACCTCCCAGCAGGGACAGTCCTTTCCTACAGATAAAGAACAAACTCGGGAAAATGAAGGAGTTGAGCTCAAAGTCACAAACCCAGTAAGGGGCAAGGCTGGAGCTTGAACTTGGGCCAGAAAGCCCCAGACTCTGTGTTCTTTCCACTGCTCCTCAGCTTCCTGAAGAACCAGCCTCAGGGGGGCTCCTGTATGTGAGGGGCACAGATCACTACTAATGACGAAGCCAAAGGACAATGAAGAATTTCAGGTGGAAAGAAGGCCCAGTCTCCCTTCTCTGGCTGCTGCCCCCACTGTTCCCACCCAATATTGGGGCAGGGTCTACCCTCCAGCTCTCCCCAGGATCACTATTCGCAGGCCCTGAGCAGCCACTCTACAAGCTGCCCTTTTGTGCTCACAGCCAACTCCTATTCAGCCTTCAAAACCTACTGTGAGTTGCCCCCTCCAAGAAATGCTGGGAATTTACTCCATCCCACCTGCTGGGTCAAGAGTTTGGGCTCCCAGCACTCCCTGAGTCTGTTCTGAGCAACAACTGGCTGGCCTATCCTCCCTCAGACTGGGAACTCCTAGGGGCAGGGCTCTTCTGCTTATGGCCTTGTTAGCCTCACGTTATGTGTTCAATGACACTACATGGCCAAATCAGGCCTCTAGGGTGGAGGCGAAAGTAGCATATGAGGTGGGCCTTGATGGAAGTGGAGAATTCTAAGGGGAGGAATGGACAAAGGTGTCCAGGAGTGGAATGTGGCATAAAGAGAATGACTTCTAACTCCTATTCAAATATACCTTAATTTTCTGGCAGTTTCAAAGGCCACTATTTTAATAGGTAACAGAAACATCTCAACTTGCCTTGCATTCCGCACTACCACCTAAGAAGAAATGAGCTCTTCAAGGAACTGTACGCGAGCACAGGGGACAGCGTGGAGAAGTGAGAAGCCAAGGCCAGCACTTCCCACCACTGCCCCAACCCTACCTGAACCAGAGGATGGTGCCTCTGGCTCAAGGAGTAGGGCACCAGCCACATATACTGGAGGTGACGGGTTCAAACCCAGCCCCGGCCAAAAAAAAAAAAAAAAAGCAAAGAAATATATATATAACCGAACCAAACTGAACCAGGAGAGTATTTACAGGCCTAACCCAGCCCAGCAAACAGCTAACGAGGCCACGTTTAGAAAGCCACAGGCCAGACCTAAGGGCTGGTCCCCAAGTGGCTCGGGAGCTCCAGGTCTAACCTGCCACCGTGACTTGGAGCAGCGATGAGTTGTTTGGGCTGAGGGGTCGATTACAAGGTCTGCTCTGTACTTGGCCCATGGGAATGCTTGGCTGCCGATTCCTCCTTTCCAAAATGGGCATGAAAACAGGGTGACAGAGGCTTAGATGATGCACGAGAAATGCTCCCTGCACAGCACCAAGGCCCGTAAACTCACCAGTTGCCATGGTCATCTCCAGTTCAGTCCAGCACCACCCATGGAGCAACTATTCTGCCAAAACAGACTTGCCTATTTTTAAACTTGACCTAATTTGAGGATTGTGGGGGACTGAACCTTAAACCAAACATCAAATCTATTGTGCAGCTTGTTAGTGTGCTGAATCTTTTCAAAACTGCTTAGAAGTTATAAAGAAACAAAGAGAAACACAAAGTCCCAAGTTGGAACAGAAAGTCTCCCTGTGTTCAAGGTGCTCTTCATGAGTTCCCTGAATTTTGATGTTCTCCACTTACAACATATGCTTTGGTTCTGACGGGAACTGCTGGAAGCTGGGGCCCCCCCACCCCCAGACATGGCACCCCATCACCCCTCCATTTCACCACTCCCTGAACCCCTGCTGTGTTCTGCTTCCTTGTGGCGGCTGAGGCTCACATTTGCTCCCTGGCAGGCAGGCAGGGTCCTGGAGGTAGACAGTCGCATTCCCATCCCAGGTCCACCGCTTAGAAGCAGCAATATTGAATAAGTTATTAATTAATCTTCAGTTTTCTCATCTAAAAAGATGAGAAGAGCTAACAGTGGCTACTGAACCTCGCAGGGCCACCATGAGGCTCAGTATGTAATGACGTAGACAGAGCTCATCGCTGTTCCTGGAGTTGGGAAAAGCTTTATAAATACACAGTCATTACCACTCACTGAAAAGCCTTGGTGTGCACCCACTACGGGTCTGTAAAGGCTGAGATGATAAATATTTTCAGCTCTGCAGGCTGTAAGTACTCAGCTCTGTAGGGTGAACACAACAGCCGCCAGAGGCAATAAATGTGCATTAGTTGTATTCCAATAAAACTTTATTCATAGAAACTCATAGTGGCTGGATTTGGCCCAGGAACTATACTTTGCTGACCCCTGAGCAGGACAATCTGGTGGGCACAGAGGACTCGAGGTCCGTAGGCACAGGCCCTGTCTATGGGTGGTAGGAACCAGATGGGAGAGGACATCATTACAATGCCCCACAAGGGGCGCTGCCAGGACACCCAGAGCAGGAGGCTTGAGGGCATGGTCTGCAGAGCCTAATGCTACCCATGCCCAGACCCCAAGCCTAGCCCTAGAATCTGGAAGAGAGAATTGGGAGGAGGAAGGGGGTCGGGCTGAGGAAGCACCCATGCATGGGGCACCAAAGGGGGGCAAGGGTCAGACAAGTGTACAGCACGGAGTTTACCCTGAGAGCAGCACGGAGGGGCCTGAACAGTTGTGGCAAAGGGGCAACAGGACGAGGGCATGAGGCAGGGGAGACTGAGGCAGAACGGCCAGTTCAGATCTCTGAGAAGGGCACTCTGTGTGCAGACTCCGGAGTACTGCCAGCAAGGTCAGTGAAGCTGCGGCAGGTGCTCCTGAAACAACTGCCTCTGGGTGGCGCCTTGCTGGGGGCACTTGGCCTGGTACAGCAAGGGCAGAATGGGGAGAGAAAGGATCCGGGTGGACCTGCACTCTGGCTTCAGTGCCCGTGTGAGTGGACCGTGACTCTAGTTCAGATGATACAGGCTGGTCTGAAGGAGAGACAGGAGCCTGGAAATACTGACCCTGAGACTCCACTGACCACCCAGACAGCCTGAGGCCTGAAGTGCAAGACAGATGCAACCCACAGGGTCAGTTTGGGGACTTGTGGTCAGCATGTGGTAGCTAAAGGAAGGGGTGAGAGGCAGGAGGGCCAGTGGTAGAGGGGGCCTTAGGTGGGGAGAGGGGCCAGAATGCCTTTGAGCGTGTGGCAGAGGGGCCTGCAAGGGGAGGATTACAGGCAGAGGCCACCCAGGAAGAGGGCGGCACCCAGGAAGGAAGCAGCAAGGGTGGGGGGTGCTGAGAGGCACTGGCCGGATTTGGCAACCATGTCATGAGCACCCTTTACTCACAGGAGTGGTTTCGGTGAGCGAAGGTGCAGGTGGCATGGAGGAAATGGGACCACAGACGACATTCTGTAAAGGGCAGCCCAGGAGCTCTGGGCAGCTCCAGAGACTCAGAGAAAACTGGGACGGTTGTTTGTTTGTTATAAGTTAATGATGGAAGAATCTCAAGGATCCAAAGGCACTGAACTCAAATCACCAAATATGTCCTGAGCACCTTCTCCTACTGAAGATGACTGGGGTCTCTGCAGAAGCCCCAGGGAGTGGGGGAACTTCTGAGGCCAGAGGAGGCTGAAAGAGTTTGTAGAACTGGGACCCATCTCCCAAGCCACATAGGCAGGG